CCATCCATTCATCCATCCATTCATCCATTCATTTATCCATCCATCTATCCATCCATCCATCCATCCATCCATCCATCTATCCATCCATCCATCCATCCATCCATCCATCCATCCATCCATCCATCTATCCATTCATCCATCCATCCATTCATCCATTCATTCATCCATCCATCCATCCATCCATCCATCCATCCATCCATCCATCCATCCATCCATCCATCCATCCATCCATCCATCCATCCATTCATCCACCCATACAACCATCCATCCATCCAACCAACTGTCCGTCCGTCCGTCTGCCGCAGTCCATCAATTGTATCATCCATTCATTCATACATCCACCTGTTTAGTTAACTTCATTTAGAGATGTATCACAACTCTTTACTATGCGTATTTTGTAGATTGACAGTCGGGTTGACTAAAAAAAGGTCATGCCTTTTAATCAAGAATGCATAATACACTAGATAATAATCTATATTATGCACTCCTGCCTTAATTGCATGGTGTTCTCGTCTTGCTAATCATACATAATACGGTAAAATTCCCTTTCAGCTGGCCATAGTGCTATTCGCCTACTGCGGCAGCTTTGGTGAGTAATGCCTTGCTATTAAATATCTACTAATTTCAATTATTGAAATTGCCACGGTTACGCATGTCGTTTCTAATTGCGTAATGTAATAAAATACATAATTTCCAATAATTTGTATATATCAAAGCTTATTTAAAAACGCCATAACCAACATGATTTATTGGTTTTCATCCTGGCTAAGGTGATGCTTCCCATTCTCTCGACTATATTAACATATAACCTGAAGTGAGTAAAACAGGCTAAAATAACAAATTTGTATGTTTTTTAATCCTGTTATCATCGTATTGCACGTGTTCAAATAAATCAATGTACAAAATACTGAAGACTTCACACTACAGAACCTACTAACGTGAGTATGATTAATGTTGATAATAACAGAAGTAGATAATAGGGATAATAGTCCCTATTATCTACTTCTGATAATATGTGGCTGCCGCGCTAACACTGCAATCTGAACGTCGTTAAGCGAAGTTATCCTGGGCACATATAATTAAAAATATGATGATATGAAAATAAGGTTATATGATGATGGTGCTGAAATGAATTATAATCTTAAATGAAGGTAGCCGTTTTTACTGTTAAGATACATCTCAATATGTCGAAGTGTCGACGAGGGTTCTGGGAACCTCTCCTGCTGTCTATATTCCAAGTCCTCAGCATTATCGTTTAGCATCCGATGAACTTATAGTAATGTTTCAGGTGTGTTTTCATCACAACGTGTAACACGTACTTTCTTTTTTTATTGAGGCGTGGATGCGACACAATGGATCTCTCACCCCTCATACCCCATGAGTGCAACATCTGAATTCATGGGCGAGGTTGCCGGAGCAAAACAAAGCAACAAGTGTGCCGCCTCGATGCACTGCATTAAACATGTCATGGATAACAACCACATGACCAAGTGGATTGCTAATTCTAGCACAAACGAGGAGATTACGTTCGACGTCCAAGAGCCTAGATACATAGACGCTATTTTCATTAAATTCTCAGAAGGTAGAATCCGTAATGTCAAACTTTATGCTATTAAAACGCTACCAACGCTATCAACGGAGTCCTGGACTCAAATTGGACTGTTGCTTCTATCTGATAGCACTGGTTACAGCCTACGACACTACATCGCATATCTCGAATTATCAGTAGCCCTAGAGTTTCGCTACTTCAAGATTTCTATCCAAGAAAGTAAATATCCGAGATTCCAATATTCATTTCCGCTGCGTACGTGTCAATTTTATATATATATATGTAACTGTAATATATTCTTCCATAAATACTTACCATGGTAGCAATAAGTGCCATTTCCCAGCCACCCAAGTCGGCATCGACATATCGTAGTTGCGTCTCTATTATCGCAGATAGCGTTAACATTACACATGTCAGTGCACAGACCTAAAAATACAATTCCCGGCCTGTGTTTAGTAATATAATAATCATATTTTAATAACCCTCTATGTGAGCCTCTGTTACCATTGCCGCATACCCACGTACTGCATTAGTCCAAGTAGAATCTCACGTTACCACATCTCCCCACAACAATATAGAATAGCTCTCCGCATGGCTGCCAGGGGCTCGTTGTCAGAAAACATCATGAATAGTTGTGACATCGTGACATTGCGTCTGAAGTAAACTGTAGTGTTAAAGTTATGATATTTTAGACGTGTAAGAGCCATAACTATTTTTATTTCTGACAACGGGCCTCCCGATAACATGAGAGTAACCAGTAAAAATAGACATCAACCGATGACTCCAGAATCTCTATAGTCACCAAAAGGAGGGGTATTTGAGTCGAAATATTCACTCGCCATTAGTACCGAATTTCGGCTGGTTTGCGAGAACTAGCAGAAGTCACCGCTAAGTGGCTACGTACCAGGTCGTGTACTCAGTAGAGCTCTCACGAAAACGTTCCTAGATTTACCTTTTATACCTCTCTCTCACTCTCACACACACACACACACACACACACACACACACACACACACACACACACACACATGCACACACCAAGGGATGGTATTAAACTGTCAGGATCTGGTACGGAACACCTTCCACCGGCCCCATTAATCCATCCGTAGTAGCACCTGCACATCCTAGAACCAGGTCGCGTAGCGGCCTCGTTGGCGTAGCAAGCTCCGTGTATCGCATCGCCGCCGCACACTATACCGTAGCCACTGTTCACGTCGCAAACAGTTCCAGCTGAAATTTCATTTATAATTTCAAGATATAATACATTATCATTAATGCATGCACGAACGTACGCACGTGCACACACAGGATATTTCCAGGATAAATAAACAAACAAACAAACAAACAAACAAACAAACAAACAAACAAACAAACAAACAAACAAACAGACACATTCGTACACACATTCTCTCTCTTTATCTCTCTCTCTTTGTCGTCGTCGTTGCTACAATCATTAAATGATTCAAATTGTATAATTACCAAATGTTTACCTTATCTTTGTCAAGATTATTAGTGCAGGTGATCATTACTGCCATAACCTGTGGCATGAATATTTGATATGAATATACTTCGGCGAAAACCCCGATGTGCATAAACCAGCACATTTCTCATGTTTTTGTAATTAACATGTAATGTTAAAAGGGGATAAACTATAGAAAAAAACGATGACGACGATGGAACCACTCGAGACAACGGCAGCCGTGACCACAGGAGCCGTGACCACAGGAGCCGTGACCACAGGCGCCGTGACCACAGGCGCCGTGACCACAGGCGCCGTGACCACAGGCGCCGTGACCACAGGAGCCGTGACCACAGCAGCCATGACCACAGCCGATCAGACTGATACAGGCCTGACACAATCTACTACAACCATGCCACCGTTAACCTGTCTTATGGAAAGATCTTCGATGAGTTATATTCGCATACAAGATCCCAGTGTTATCACCTACGCAGTGGAAGTGGTAAAGACATTGGTATTGCCCAATCTCCCAAATAAAATCCATAAATGTGCATCTCATTGTTCTGCAGATCTCGATTGCGTCATAATTGGTTTCGACAACTCGATTAGCACATGCTATATCTGTCACGTGGCTGTGAACGCTACATACACTTTTTTAGCGGACCAGGAGTATTTGTGTGCGATAAATTAACGGCTGTTAGCCATGGGATATTCAAAGGCGCAAAATAGATCATTTATAGTAAGTCTAAATGGTCTTTGCATTGTCTTCTATTGTGGCAGTTATACTGACTATAGACACCCTGACTACTAAAGTGTGTAAAATCATTGATGAGAAAGTGGTTCAACGAACAGCTAGATTCTCTTGATTTAATTTCTACGTGTGCTAATTTCAGAGTGGCATTGGTGTTAATTTCCAACATGCATCATCTAATGCTCTTAAACAAAAACGTAATTTGCTGGCTAAACCTAGTAACTAGCTATATCTAGTAATCAAAACTAATATTTTCTGGCATAATCTAATTTATTTTAATCTAATCTAATCCAATCGAATATTTTATCCAATCCAATATCCAATTCAATCCAATCCAACACAATCCAATCTGATCTATTTGAATATAATTATCACATGATGTGTACACATTATTGGAACTGCTCTACATTTGCAGGTAGAGCAGGTATCTCATGTGTAGAACAGAAGTTACAACTAATGTAGTTAAATTCCAGTTTGATTGTCGTAGTGAACTATAAGAAATGTCGGATATCTATCGAACACTTTAAAATCAATGCCGGGAGTAATCAACTCACAGTTTAAGATATATACGCTGAAAATATAATAGTCTTAAGCTTTTCCGTGTGAATGTGCGTGCGTGTGTGCTTGTGCGTGCGTGTGTGTGTTTGCGTGCGTGCGTGTACGTGGTTACGTACTTACGTGCGT